GAAATTTTGAATAGTTCAGAGAACCAGCAAATCCCACCTCTGACTGGCCCCACCAACCCCATCTATTCTCTGCCTCCCATTGAGTCCTAGCTGATCATCTGGGTCTCCTTTGGTTGCCCTGCACAGGAGAACGGAGCTGGAAAGCAGGTTAGTGGGGTGGGGAGGGAATGGGGATTTTGCAGTAACCTTCCCCTGCCACTCCCACCAAGCCACGTCACACCCACAGAACTGGTAGTAAAAAAGATTGAATCCCACCACTGCACTAGACCTGTGATGGTGAACCTATGGCATGTAGAACCGCTCCGGAGCCTCAATGGGTGAAACTGCAGGGCCGGCCGGTGCCTCGAATGCCCCCCTTCTACCTCTTAGCACCCCTCTGCTGCCACCCTTGAGGACGCTAAGAGGTGGCAGGGGGGCAGCCCGTCGAACGCGGCTGCGGCGGCACATAACGTGCCACTGCTTCCGCATTGGAGGCGCCAGCGCCGGAGCGTTACTACAGTCAATGGGTGAACCTGCAGGGCCGGCGCCTTGAACGCCTCCCTGCTGCCTCTTAGCATCCCCAAGGGGTGCAGCAGAGGGGTGCTAAGAGGCAGCAGGGGGCAGTGCGTCGAACAAGGCCACACGTAACGTGCCACCGCTTCCGCATTGGAGGCACCGGCTCCAGAGCGGTGCTACAGTCAATGAGTGAACCTGCAGGGCTGGCACCTCGAACGCCCCCCTGCCACATCTTAGCATCCCCCTGCCGGCCACCTTCCCTCTTAGCACCCCCCCTAAGGCATCCCACCTTCCCCCAGGGGGCAGTATCGCCCACTTTGGGAACCACTAGACTAAGGCAATGACCCCAAGTTTTATTTCAATGGGAGGAGTCTATGGAAGTTCAATTGTTTGGATATGTTTTTTTTATATATTTCTTTAAAAACTAATTGTACTATAACTTGAAATAGTCCTGGTAACACTCCTAAAAACCAAACAGCAGCATGTTATCCCAGAAACACAAGCCAGATTCTTTGATTATGCAGCTGGGAATGCTAAAATAGCATATTTTGACATTAATAACTCCCCAACCTTGTTCTCGTTCCACATCCCATCAGTTGGGAGGGGCACTAATTGACCTTTAGCAAAGAAGAGTCATTAATCAACTTCTAGATCAGTTTTCCAAACTTGGTGTGCTCCAAATGTGCAAATTCCAGTTTTTCCTAGCTGATATGTTTAAGACTAAGCTATAAGAGAAATCTGGCAATTGAAGTTAACCACACAACCAGAGAGTACCAGTTTAGGAAAGGCTATTTTTGTATGAGGCTGTTATTTTCTTCACCTCAGAGACATTTTGAGGATTTAGGATTTAATGAGCTGTGTAAGGTTGTTTCATGGTCTTTTCTTCTTCTTCTTTTAATGTCTGGAATACTCTACCCGACTCTGTAGTTTCTTCCCCAAACCCCAAAAACTTTAACCTTAGACTGTCTACTATTGACCTCACCCCTTTCCTAAGAGGTCTGTAGGGGGCGTGCATAAGCGCACCAACGTGCCTACCGTCCCTGTCCTATTGTTTCTCTTATTCTTCTTTTATTTTTCTTATATGTACCCATTTCATGTATTCACAACTATGTATACACTTATACTTATTATCTTGTAAACAATTGGCAAATCAAATAAATAAATAAAATATGCTGCTCTGGATGCTATTCTATAAACAATCAAATGGTCAGAGCTAAATCAAGAACTCAAATGAAATTCTGGTCCTGCAGCAGGGGTGGGATTCTACCTGGTCGGTCTATAGAACCGGTTGTTATGATTCTGTGCAGTTTGGAGAACTGGCAAATCGTGCCACTGGCTGGCCCTGCCCCTCCTCTCCCTGGCCACTCACTTCTTTCCTGGTATGCATGCCATCCAACTTGTCTGCCTTTGGTAAGTTGCTATTTTTCCCCTGACCATCAGCTGTTCTGCTGTGCCGGGAGATTTAGATTAGCTAGAAAGCAGGAAATCATTGGATTTCTTGCTTTCTAGCTAATCTAAAAGCAGAGCTGAACCTTCCTTAGGACTGAAGCCAGGGGTGGGATTCAAAATTTTTAACAACAGGTTCTGTGGGCATGGCTTAGGTGGTGGGCGTGGCTTGGTGGTGTTATTGGCTGGGTGTGGCCAATTCAATATCACTCACATCGAGACACGCATCTCTTTGCCTGGCTTCTCATGACTGTGGGGATGCTGCAACAGTCGTAAGTGTGAAAAATGGTCATAAGTTACTTTTTTCAGTGCCATTGTAACTTTGAATGGTCACTCCATACAAGCAAAGTACCAGCAAAGGAGGGGGAAAAAACTCCAGAGACATTCCTGAGACAGGAAGTCTAGTCCTGCCAAGAATGTAATAAGGGTTAACGGAGAGGCAGTTTCTGTAAGCAACACCAGAATGTTTCCTTCCTGCCTTCCTTACAGGATTAGGCCAGTAATTTCTTCTAACCACCAGTTCTCCAAACTGCTTAGAATGTTAACAACCGGTTCTGGCAAATAGGTGCGAACTGGTGGAATCCCACCCCTGACTGAAGATTCTATTTTTCATTGCAGACTCAGGCAATAGATTGCAGAATGGTAGATCTCTGAGTGAATCTGTGATTCTGTGAGCAACTCAATCTGCCTGCCTGCTTTGCCTGATTTTGGGTAAAAGTTGCTCTTTTTAAAAATAAAAAATTCATTATTTACATACATGGTGTGTTGTGAGTTAATTTTGTGAGTTTGCTTGCAAGCAAATTTTATATGACAGACTCAGGCAATAGATTGCAGAAAGGTAGATCTCTGGGTCAATTTGTGATTCTGTGAGCAACTCAATCTGCCTGCCTGCTATGCCTGATTTGGGTAAAAGTTGCTCTTTTTTTTAATAAAAAATTCAATATTTACATAATTTTTTTCAATATTTACATACAAGCCCCATCCAGCCATTCACGTGATCACCAAGCCACACCCACAAATTAGGCCATGCCCACAGAACCAGTTGTTAAGAAATTTGAATCCCACCCCTGTCCTGCAGGGGACATGGTGGTTAGAACTTATCTTAGAATAGTTCCAACTTATTCATAGGAATTATCCCCAAATTAAATACAACAGAAGGAAATTAAATAAACATATGAGGAATATGAGAAGGAGAACTTGTGACCATGAATTTCTTCTTCCAACCAGAAGACTTTTGAGCAACTCATGAATTCAGATACCTTTAATGGGCCATGTTTACCTTTATGTAAATAAATTATGCAAATAAAACATTGCTACTAATGGAGTAGAAGCTTGTAGGTGATTGAGCTTAAAGCACCTAAATTAAAGGAATCAATGTTTTAGCAGTCATGCTTTTTTTTTTTTAGATAAACACCTTTGTTGCAGTGATAGATTCAATTTTTTTTACTACTGGTTCTGTGGGCGTGGCTTGGTGGGCATGGTGTGACTTGGTGGGAATGACTTGGTGGGTGTGGCAGGGGAAGGATACTGCAAAAGCTCCATTCCCTCCCCACCCCACTAACCTGCTTTCCAGCTCTGATCTCTTGTCCAGGGCAACCAAAGAAGACCCAGCCGATCAGCTGGGATTTGGGAGGCAAAGAATAGATGGGGCCGGGGCCGGTCAGAGGTGGTATTTGCTGGTTCTCCACTACCGATTTTCCAGAACTGGTCAGAACCTACTGAATTACCACCTCTGCTTTGTTGGGGGCTGAGCTCAGAATGCCTGAAGGTACGTTTCTGACTTTAGACCAGATTGGAATTAAGGATGAGCAGGCAGGGGGCAGGTCAGCAGTTTGGCGGTTCCAATCCCTAGCACCGCGCAATGGAGTGAGCTCCCATTACTTGTCCCAGCTTCTGCCAACCTAGCAGTTCGAAAGCATGTAAAAATGCAAGCAGAAAAATAGGGACCACTTTGGTGGGAAGGTAACAGTGTTCCTTGCACCTTCAGCATTTAATCATGCCACCCACATGACCACGGAGACGTCTTTGGACAGCGCTGGCTCTTTGGCTTTGTAACGGAGATGAGCACCATCCCCTAGAACTGGAAACGATTATCACGTATGTGCGAGGGGAACTTTTACTTTTACCTTAGGCAGGGGACAGAGTCTTTCTATCCTGCTAAGTGGCACGGGTGCAATTAATACAGCCATTAAGAATTTAGAAGCCACTCAACAAACTGAAATGAATACAGAAATGCAGCATGATCTAATATGTAGTATGGAACTTTTCCAACTAATCTAAGTCATCTGTAACTGCTTTCCCCTCTCTGAATAAGAAAGAAATCAAGTGCTGGCTTTGATGGAATGATCTTGAATTGCAAAACTTCGGGAGTAGAATGGACAGCGACACTCTCTTAGCCTTTGAGTGATGTTTTGAGGATGCACTTCAAAGAGAGGATGAGGTCAGACCGAAGAAGCTGATGGAGCCATGGACAAAAATAAAATGTGATTTAATGAAGCATTAATTTCAATCAAGCTAGTAAGATCATTTCCCACACATTTATTTAATGTCCTTCTATTGCGTTTAATTTGAGGACAATTCCTGTGAATATGTCAGGAGAGAAAGATAAGTTCTAAAGCACCATGTCCCCTGCAGGACCAGAATTCCATTTGCGTGATTGACTTAGTTCTGACCATTTTCAGGAGGGTGGCTACCAATAATCCATTTTATGTGGGAGGCATGGCAGAGCAAAGTAACCCTTTGACAGATATTCAGCCTATTGCTTTTATCCAAGAGGTGAAAACTGCTTTCCTGACTCATGATTTTAAAAACTGGTAGGAAAAAATATATATAGTTACACTGATGCAAGGATTCAGCAAGCCCTGGTAGGTCTCCCCCATCTTTGGCCTTGTAGTGTATTCAAATACAGACTTCTAATACTACATTCCTATTGGTTAGTTAATACAGCGTAACGATTGGTTAAGAACAACAAGTTCCGATTGGCCGCATAAGCGGCGGGAAGTTTAAACACATGCCATTGGTTGCAAGCCGCGAGCAACCGCTATAAAAAGGGCTGCCGCGGCTTGACTTCAGTTGAAGTTACTGGTTGCTAATAAAGAGCTGATTTCAACTCCGGTATCCGAGTCTGCTTTGTCCTGGTGATAGAACACTGGCGACGAGGATGGGATCGAAGGGACAAAGACTGTAAGCACGTGGCAACGATAGCCGAAGGACCAACGAGATGGCCGGCAACAATTCGCCACCCGCACCGTTCAACCCAGCCGAAGAAGACTGGAAGTCATACATTGACAGATTCCTGATGTTTTTAGAAAGCAACGAACTGCAAGGAATCACTGACCAGAGAAAGAGAGCCGTATTCCTAACGCATTGCAGCCCGACTATCTTCAAAATGGCCAAGGCATTAGCAAGACCAAATGATGTTAAACAGATGGCCTGGCCAGACCTAAATCGGATGCTGAGAAACAATTACGCGCCGGTCATATCCAATCTCATTAGAAGACACGAATTCTACAAGCGCAACCAACTAGAAGGTGAGAGTATTGGAGACTTCGTAGCAGCATTAAGAGACATTGGGGGGGCATGCGAGTTACTCAACATGGATGAAGCCATGAGGGATCGCATAGTCCTTGGACTAAGAGATGCAACCCTACAGAGCAAACTGCTAAACCGACCCAACATCACCACAAACGAAGCCATTGCTGAAGCAACGGCCGCTGAAGCCGCAAAGAAGTCTGCAGCAAAAATGAAGCAGATGAATACAACGAACAGTCCGAGCTTGAATAAAGAGAAGAAAACAGAGGGAGCCCAAAAGCACACTGCCACAACCTCTCACCATGAGGATATCGAATCATCAACCGATTCCGAAAACGAGGAGGTAAACAGACTCCATTCAGAAAGGAACCGGAGAGAGAGACGAGGGAGAAAACCTGAATTTCAGTGTGCGGGTTGCGGCGGAAACCACCCGAGGTCTGAATGTCGATTCTTGGATGCCACATGCCGGCATTGTGAAAAACGGGGGCACATTGCGAGGGTCTGCCGAAACAAAAAGAGCTATAGTCCAAAGAGACATGGCAGTATCCCCCCTCCCCAGAAACAAAGAAAGGCCAACCGGAAGTCGCTGGAGCCGAGATCATAGAAATCAACGGCTCAATGAAAAGGAAGAAATGCATCAGACAATCACTATTTGGACGGCCAGAACAACAAACACTAAGAAGGTTCGAATCAATGTCCTGATAGAAGGCGAGCCATGTGAGATGGAAGTAGACTCCGGTTCGTATTTATCAATGGTATCATGGAACACAATAAAAAGTTTGATAACAGACATAAAATGTAGAGAACTCGAAGAGCAAAGCCTGATCATCAAGGACTACCAGGATAACAAGATACCAGTAGTGGGACTGGGACATATCAAAGTAAGATTTAAAAAACACACCGAGATTCTTCCATTAACCATTGTTGACAGAGATCGCCCCAGCCTGCTCAGGTTAGAATGGTTCGAACCGCTCGGAATCGAGGTGACAGGGATCAACAGCGTCACCATGACGGACTGGGAGAAAGATCTGATGGAGGAATTCCATCAGTAATTGACGTATTCGACAGGACTTTAGGCAAGTACCGTGGGACCCCTATATCATTTAGCTTAAACCTGAACGTAGCCCCCATCAGGCTTAAAGCCAGACGGGTACCATTTGCACTAAGACTAAAAATTGACGAGCAACTAAACAAAGCTCATCGCTCAGGGGGTGCTAGAGCTAACCGACCATGCCAGATGGGAAACCCCAATTGTGACTCCTATAAAACCTGACGGGTCCGTGCGCATCTGTGGTGACTATAAGGCCACCCTGAACCATGCATTGCAACAGAGCGCATATCCCGTTCCGGTAGTCCTACACCTGTTGCATTCATTGGGGAGAGGAAGGATTTTTGCGAAGCTCGACCTCGCACAGGCATATCAACAATTACCCGTTGATCCTGAGACAGCAGAGGCGCAAACCATCGGTTGCATAGAGGAGCCTTTAAATGCAATAGATTACAATTCGGTGTCAGCGTGGCCCCTGCCGTTTTCCAGAGCCTAATGGAATGCCTCCTCCAAGGATTAAAAGGGGTGGTTCCCTACTTCGATGATGTACTAATATCAGCCAAAAACAAAAAACAACTAAAAGACCGATTAAGGGCAGTTTTGGCAAAATTTAGAGAAGCAGGACTCAAAGTTAAAAAAGAAAAATGCCAACTTGCCACAAACCAGGTCGAGTTCCTGGGATACCTTATTGATGAAGCAGGAATCCACCCCACAAAAAAAAAAAAAAAAAACAAATACGAGCGATAAAGGAAGCTCCCAGACCCAAAAATAAAACGGATTTACAAGCATTTTTGGGACTCATTAATTTTTATCATGCCTTTCTGCCATAGAAGGCAACAGTAGCGGAACCACTGCATAGACTCCTCGATAAAAAAGCCATTTGGAAATGGGGCCACCAAGAGGAAACAGCATTCCAAAAAATTAAAGACTTAATCACATCAAAATCTGTATTGATCCAATACAGTGACACACTACCTCTAACTGTCACCTGCGACGCTTCACCCTTCGGCATAGGCGCAATACTTAGCCACACACTACCAGACGGCAGAGAAGCACCGATCGCCTTTTATTCCAAGACGCTGTCCAAGACCGAAAGGAACTACAGCCAATTGGACAGGGAAGCCTTGGCAGCCATCTCGGGGGTGAAACGTTTCCACGAATACCTATACGGTAGGACATTTTCTTTAATTACTGACCATAAACCGCTATTGGGAATCCTAGCCGGAGACAGGGCCACCCCCAATATCCTGTCCCCAAGAATGACAAGATGGTCAGAATTTCTTGCAGCCTACAATTACAAACTCATTTATTGCCCAGAGAAAGCCATACCCCATGCAGACGCATTAAGCCGCTCACCACTACCAGATCACGATGACGACCCAGCTTCCACCACGCAGACCCTACAAATTGAAATGATTCCAAATTGGCCCATCACCGCATCGGACATCGCAAGGGAAACGGCTAAAGATGCACTGATGGCCTGAATACTGAACTGGGTGGCACGGGGTTGGCCGGAAAACATAAAAACTGAGACTTTTAAACCTTTTAAAAACTGACAAACTGAATTATCAATTGAAAAAGGGTGCATTTTGTGGGGAGACCGGGTGGTTGTTCCACAAAAATTACAAGAAGACGTACTAAACATGTTACACGAAGGACACCCGGGCATGGTAAAGATGAAGTCCCTGGCCAGAAGCTACATTTGGTGGCCAGGAATAGATAAAGACATTGAAACCTGGGTTAAAACATGTAACAAATGCCAATCATCCAGACCCCGCCCCCTTCAGCACCGGTTCTTGACTGGGAGACACCCAGAGGCCCCTGGTCAAGAATCCATATGGACTTCGCCGGCCCCACAAAAGGGTATACTTACCTAATCATTGTGGATGCCTATTCCAACTGGTTGGAAGTCGTCATCATGAATTCAACAACAACAGAAGCCGTCACCAAACAACTTAAAAAACTTTTCGCCACCAACCGTCTACCAGTAGTAGTAGTATTGGACAATGGGCCACAGTTTACAGCCTTGGCTTTTGAACAATTCCTAGCAGAACATGGAATAAGACACGCTTTGACAGCACCAGCTCATCCGGCGGCGAACGAAAGAGCAGAACGCATGGTTCGTTACATGAAAGAAGCATTAGAAAAGCTTGACGGAAATGACATGCAAGAAAAAGTCAACACCATGTTCACCATCCAACATATAACACCATGCATGGCAACAAACGAGAGCCCGGCTGAACTGTTGATGGGAAGAAAGTTGTGTTCCTACTTGGATAGACTGCACCCCACTTACAACCCCGAAAAGCCACCAGACTCTTCCAGTAAGTACCGCTCTTTCTTACCAGGCGACTTAGTATATGCAAAAAATCTTACCGGAGAACCATTGTGGTTACCGGCAACAATCACACAAATCACTGGCCCTCGTTCATACCGGCTAGAAACAGCTGACGGCAGATCATGGAAACGACACATCGATCAATTACGGTCACGACACGTCGAACGAAACACCAAAGTTCCCCGAAACATGGAACAAACATTTTCCCAAGCACCCCCAGATAATAATAAAAAATCCAGAGGGGAGGAAACCCTTAAATAATAAAGAAAATGAAAATCATCCGGTTACAAACCACCAACCAGAAACCGAGAACCCAGAAAAAAATAAAAATCACGATTAGAAGACTTCGAGAAAAGAGAACTGAAGGAACCCCAGGAAAGAAGCAGCCAAGCCAACTCTACCTGCCCACACACAATGCAGGGAGACCACGCCAACCATCCAATCAACCCAACAAGGCGCGGCGAGAGCCCAATCAACCCAACGGTGGGAGCGGCATGGCTGAGGCACCCTTCCAGGAGGTTCCTAGGAGAAGAACGGGAAGGACAGTAGGCCTGTCCGAACCGGTGGAGACCAACACAGGGACTGAAGTGCGCAGGTCAACTAGGACTCACAAGAGCCCCGCCTACCTGTGCGATTATGTCACGTAACGTTGGAGAGAACCAAGAGGGGAGGGGTGCAGTGTATTCAAATACAGACTTCTAATACTACATTCCTATTGGTTAGTTAATACAGCGTAACGATTGGTTAAGAACAACAAGTTCTGATTGGCTGCATAAGCGGCGGGAAGTTTAAACACATGCCATTGGTTGCGAGCCGCGAGCAGCCACTATAAAAAGGGCTGCTGCGGCTCGACTTCAGTTGAAGTTACTGGTTGCTAATAAAGAGCTGATTTCAACTCCGGTATCCGAGTCTGCTTTGTCTTGGCGATAGAACAGGCCTCTACAAGTTGTAATAAGGCCCTGAATCCAACTCAGCTGGAGGGAAACAGCTTTGTCCCAAAGGTGCTTTTTTCCCAAAAGGAAACCATACTTTTGGGTTCCCCCCACCCTTTGGAAACATTTTGCTTCTCATACCAAAAAAAATAAAATTCAGTTCAGTTCCTCAGAATTGAAGAAGTTTATTGGATGAGAAGCAAAACATTTTCAAACCCCCCCCTCAAAAAAGTCCAGTTGTCTTTTGTAAAAAGCACCTTTGGGATAACCATGACCCGGATGATTGACATTTAGCTGACCTGAATGGTGAAAAGATCAAAACTTTACTTAGCCATCATGGGAAGACTTAGTCTACTCGTTCTCTTTTACCACAATTAACTTCACCTTGTTGTCACAAAGATAAAATTACAGATTAACAGAGTTGGAAAGGACCTTGTAGGTCATCTAGTCCAGGGGTCACCAACCTTTCGGACGTCAGGGACCACCAAACTCATAATTTTAAATCCTGCGGACCACTAATATGAATTTTGACTGGTCGTGGCTTGCTGACGTTGGTGGGAAAGTTGGTCCCGTATTCCAGAGCTGCAATAGTCACAGGAGTGGCCTTTTGGTCATCCCAGAGCAGCTCCTCCAGTCCATGGCAGGCCAGTGCACCCAGATGGAGGAGCAGCTGCTCCGGGATGACCAAAGGGCCAGTCCTGTGACTCCTGAAGCTCTGGAATATGGGACCAACTTTCCCACCAACGTCAGCAAGCCACTTCAGGGCAGATTTCCCTCCCCCATCATTGGTCTTACCTTCCAGTTCCAGCTCACATGGCTCTACTCAAGGTAAGGTTTGCGTTCAGCTGAAGGGTGGGGGGCCAGCAGATGGACGGGCCATGTGGGTAGCACAGCCTTATGTTCCTGTGCAGCCTGGATGAATTGCTTTGGAGGGAGTGCTTTGGGGGGGACATTTCTCTGCAGACCACCAAAATTTTCTCGCGGACCACCAGTGGTTCCCGGCCCACTGGTTGGCGACCACTGATCTAGTCCAACCCTCCTCCCAAGCGGGAGACCCTGCACCATTTCTGACAGATAGCAGTCCAGTCTCTTCTTGAAAGCTTCCAGTGATGAAGCTCCCACAACTTCCGAAGGCAACTTCTGTTCCTTGGGTTGATTGTTCTCACAGAAAATTCCTCCTTATTTCCAGGTTGAATCTCTCTCCTTGTTCTGTTTCCATCCATTGCTCCTTGTCTGGTCTTTGGGGTGCCTTGGAAAACAGCTTGACCATCTCCTCTCTGTGGCAGCCCCTCAAATATTGGAAGACTGCTATCATCTCTCCCCTAGTCCTTCTCTTCACTAGACTAGCCATGCCCAGTTCCTACAACCGTTCATTGTATGTTTTAGCCTCCAATCCCCTCATCATCTTGGTTGCTCTTCTCTGCACTCTTTCTAGAGCCTCCACATCTTTTTTATAGTGTGGTGACCTCAGGGGCTTTGCAGAATAGGTTGACCCTCTCTGCTTCGTGATAGTCCCTCAAATATTGGAAGATTATCAAGTCACCCCCAGTCCTTCTCTTTAATTTGACTGGATATACCCATTTCCTGCAACTGTTCATCATATGTTTTGGCCTCCAGTCCCCTCATTATCCTGGTTGCTCTTCTCTGCACTTTTTCTAGAGTCTCAACCTCTTTTCTTATAGTATGGTGACCAAAATGCAAGGGGAAGGAGGAGAAACAGTGCCTTTTCCCTTGAACTCCTTGGAGGAAGGCTGAGAAAGAAACAAGCCAATGAGAAATAATCAACTCTCAACCCAAGAGGGACCAGTCTACTGAATTACTTGAGAAGACCCGAGGGAGGTATAGGAGCAAGACCCATTAGCAGAGGAAGTTTCCAGTTTGGCCTGACCTGGTTAAAACACTTGAAATCTGGCTTCTAGCCACACCTCGGTCTCTAAGACAGGCCCTTCTCTTTGCGGGGCATCATATTCCAGCCAGCTGTTCCAGCAGATGATGTCAGAGACCAGGGGTTGACAACTATGCACTCCCAAGTTTGATCCAGGTCCAGGCCAGAGCCCAATAGCATGCAAATGGATCATCACTTAAATGCTTTTCTTGAAGACTGAGGTTCAGTTTGAAGGCATGCGCTTGTGTGAACATCTGCGGTGAAATTCTGCTTCCTTGAATACCCCAGAGGCTGTTCTGGTTCCTTTTCTTTCTTATGAAAGTAGGAACTTTTGGGCCTTTTTTTTTTTTTTAAAAAAAAAGGTTCTGCTGGCTCGTATGAAAAGAGACAAATATCTTTTGCAAGACAGAGTGGGGGTGGGCGAGAAAATAGCCGACACATCTGCGGCTGCAGAAGGAGCTTTATTAGTCTGTGTCGGGAGCCAGTGCTCAGGCAACCAGACAATTGGAGCTATAGTTTGAGAGCTTTTTGCAAGCTCCAAGAAGCTTCAGCACCAGCCAGTGCAAGACGTGCCCTCATTTAACCAAACGAGATGTGAATAATTTTGCTGTACGGGCTTGGAAAGATGCAGCCTTTCTTGGACGCTTTGGTTGCCAAGTGGAGGTCTGAAACATACCTAACTGTAGACTCATTTCTCCAAGAAACATACTTATAGTAATGCATTTCAGGCAAGTTCCATTAAAAAGGGAGAAGAAAATAACCTTCTTAAGCCTCTCAATCTGGAAACAAGACTGCAGAAACTAATGGATCATCTGAAACTAATTTCGTGCAACGGTTCTATGGTTTGTCTCCTTGCCTACACTTTCTCGTTCTCCCTTGTTGGCTTCCGACAGAGGTCATCATACTTCCATCCAGGTGATGATGTTTTAAGGCTTTTAGAAAAATGATTCTAAAAGCACTAGGGGTGAGGGGGGAACCATGCCGAAGCTTCTCTGAAAAGCAAGCTGCTTAAATCTGATCTCCCCTTGCAATGCACACCTGCAGAAAAGTCCCAAACATGTCCTAACGTGCCCTTCTTATTCCTTTAGAATTCAAGCAAAGACCCTGCTGTATCTTGCAACATGTTCCTGAAATATTCACAATATGCTGGACTTTCCAGAGGGGTTTTATGCCACCCTTCCCCAGTCCATAATAATCCAAGAGATGCCCTGGAATTCTGTGAAACAAAAACTTTAAAACTCATCTGGGAAGCACCTGGCTGGGTTACATAACAGTTTCTCTGTTTGTTATTACTATTATTGTTTTCAAACTCTTTCTCAGCCAAGTTTTCAAAATAGCAAACAATAAATTTTGCATAGTAACAAGACATCACATCACAAAAGCCTTTTAATGAAAACCCTAGTTCTGGACCCGATCCTAAACATTATGTATTTATATCTCATTCATTCTAATGAGCTCAGGATGGTTCATTTGGGGACTAGCCCAGTTGAATTGTAGTCTGCAATCTAGATGGGAACACAGGCTACGACCAAGAGAGAGTGCTATACACATAGTAAAATTAAAATTAAATAGATGGAAGATCATCGAAGAGAGATCCAACCTAGAATTAAGGAGAAGTTTCCTGTTATTGAGAACAATTAATTAGTGGGATGGCTTGCCTCCAGAAGTTGTGGGTGCTCCATCACTGGAGGTTTTCAAGAAGAGACTGGCCAGCCATTTGTCTGAAATGGTCTGGGGTCTCTTGTTTGAGCAGGAGGTTGGATTAGAAGACCTTTAAGGTCCCTTCCAAGTCTGTTATTTTGTAAATTATTTGGTAAGGACTTGGCCAATCAGAAGATTGAGACCAGGATCTTCCCACTTCCACCACTTTATCTGGAGGCATATTCCATCTCTTTGGCGTTTACAGGTAAATCATTTTAGTGAGTATGAAAGAAAGTCAGTCAGAACATTTAGATCTTCCGAAGAATACAATGAAAAGTTAGACAATTACCAAAAGATGAAGTGGTATTTTGGTTGGTCCTTTGGCAGACATCTTCTCCCACAGACCTCGTCGTACATAACGAATGGTTGTCCCCGCTATCTGAAACTCACCAGGAAGTTCAATTTTCCAGTCACTATTAATGGATTTCTTACTGGAATCTTTCAAAGCTGCAAAGAATCAAATGGGCAGAGTGGTTCAGGAGGGTTATCCTTGCTCTTCTAGGCCACAAATTCAACCGAGTCTCCTCAGCAAATGGTCCAACCCTCCGTCCATCTTTCTGTGAGCTTCCTGTGTTTTTAGTTGGAGCTTCCCAACTTCTAAAGCAGAGGTCTCCAAGCTTGGCAACTTTAAGACTTGTGGACTTCAACTCCCAGAATTCTAGGAGTTGAAGTCCACAAGTCTTAAAGTTGCCAAGTTTGGGAACCCCCTGTTCTAAAGGAATTGCTAGCCTTCAAGCCACCTTTCTCCATACTTAACTTTTGCCAGGTTTCCCCCACCCCCCCTCCGTCCTGAATGAGAACCAACCCTCTCAGACTGTTCTCAAAACTTGCACCAACTTTTTCTCTCAAGTCAGATTCTTTCCAACTCTGGATACCTCCAAAGTGTAAGGCATTTCCTGTCCAAAATAATTTGCAAAAAAATAAAATAAAAAATCAAACAAGCCAGGCAGCATGGGATGAAAGTAGGTGGAAAGGAACTCGCTCAAGCATCAATTCAACACGAAGCAGCCAGGTTCGTTTCCAAAGAGTGTTGGCCAATCCAGGAAAAAAAAAAAAAAGACATACTTTGCCTAAACTTTGACTACTGCAATTTGCTCCAGCCATCCCTCCAAGGTTAAACCCAAGCAGCGTCTGCACAAACCTCAGACCTTATTAAAGTTACAGTGGCAGGAAATCGTCCTTTTGAGTTTGCAATTGTTCCACTTTTCTGTTTAGATTCGTGCCCTCGTTTTGCTGCAAGACTCTGACAAAGCAAAACTTCCAATTGTTATGTTGAGACTCGGTAACCGATCTGTAAATACACAGAGGATGCTCTTTGGAAAATAGCGAATCCTGTTGATCTGGTTCTCTGCTCGTGAAAATAGAGAAATGGATCTTCCCCTGACCAATTTCCTCTCCTAACTCCACACCCCAGCTCCATTCAGGGTCTTGATTAAACCTGGTTGCCCAGGATTTTGTTATAGCTACAGGTAGTCCTCTAGTTATGACCACAATTGAGCCTGAAATTTCCATTGCCAAGCAAGACAGTTAAGTGAGTTTTGCTCCATTTTATAAACTTCCTTGCCACAGTTAAATGTCTATGGAGATTTTCAATCATCCAGGTCATGGTTGTCCCAAAGATACTGTTTCAGAAGGCAACTGGACTTTCTTGTTTTTCTTTGAAGATGTTTCGCTTCCCATCCAAGAAGCTTCTTCAGCTCTGACTGGATGGTGGGGAATGGAAGGATTTATACTCCTTGTAGACACTCATTTGCATTCTTTCAGAGAGTTGTTGAGGACACAGACAAACCTCCAAGTGGCTTCAACGACTTTCTCAAAGGATGCAAATGACCAGCTGTCTGCAAGGAATATGAACCCCTCCATTCCTTACCATCCAGTCAGAGCTGAAGAAGCTTCTTAGAGGAGAAGCGAAATCTCTTCAAAGAATAACAAGAAAGTCCAGTTGCCTTCTGAAAAAGCACCTTTGGGTCTTGCCACAGTGGTTAAGGCTACCTCTGCTGTTGTTAACTTAGCAATACGGTTGCTAAGACAATTTGACTTTCCCATTGAGTTTGCTTGTCAGAAGGTCACAAAAGGTGATTCCATGATCCCAGGACACTGCAACTGTCATAAATACACACCCGTTCATCTGAACTTTGATCACCTGACAGTGGGGATGCTTCAAAGGTCGTACTTGTGAAAAACGGCCATAAGTCACTATTTTCACTGCTGCTGTACCTTTGAACAGTCAGTAAACAAACGGTTATAAGACAAAGATTACTTGTACTGATGTATAGATAGCAATTTTCTGTAGTAAACAGGGGAGACGGTGGGGGAGAGGAAAGCTGCCTTTCATGGAATTCAGTTACAGCTGCTTTGTAAAAGTGAATCTATCAACACAAGTTAATTTGTTCTTTAGAAAGGAAGATCTCCTTCACAAAACATGAAGACAGATGAGATCATTTTAATGCAACGAGGCTGATCAGACAGAAGCGTGAAGCGGTAAAGGAGTTGGAAGCTTACCATGAACAGTCAAGTTTGACAACCACATTTAAAAACAACAACCACAACAACAAAAGCAGTCACGTCTGCCAACTAGCACTGGATCAACAGGTAGGCAAAAGTTGAAAGAGGCTGGGAATCACTCTGTGATATCGATATCATAGGAGTGACTTTTTTTTTACGTCTGTCTTCATTCCAGCTGATACCTGACAATCTTGGACTGGCAGCAGCTATCCAAATTAATCTCATTCATAATAATTAATCCAAATGAATCGAGTTGTTAATAAAAAAAAGCTGATTTTTCAAAAATTCAAAAGATTTGCAAGAGACCAGAGTGCCGGCAGACATTTTTTCCTATGTCAAAGCCTAGAAAAATAGAGACATTTTAGCTCCAAATACTGCCTTGCCATACAAGCAGAAATAAAAGCAGCAGAGCAGGCAAGATGTTGAATAATCTTGGCAGCGATCTGTTTTTTTGGAGGAGATCCTGTAAAAATGTGATACTGAACATTCCCAGCAGCTTCCTGAGCAAACCATTGTTGTTGGGTTTTTTTTCAGAAAGAAAGTTTCTAGCCCATGTGGATGTGAAAAGAGGCTCGAAAGCAGGCAGACAACACTTAACGGAATCACCAAAGCCAAATACGTGACTAATTTCTAAAACTAAGCAAGAGCTGAGGAAGACAAGACGCCATGGGCAGAAATGGAGACTTGCACAAAATTCCAGAATTCTGGATTTTTCTGGGCAGATATTTTCTCCGTTCACCTCGTAAAAGCTGACTCAAGCCATGCCGCTTTGGTTATACCACAATCTTCAGGGTTAAAACAGTAAAGCAGATAGACAACAATAAAAGTCCTATCCTGATGTCTCTACAGCAATTTAAAATAAAATGCTAAGAAATAGGGTATAATAGCAATAGCACTTAGACTTATATATCGCTTTACAGTGCTTTTACAGCCCTCTCTAAGTAGTTTTACAGAGTCGGCCTATTGCCCCCAACAATTTTGGGTCCTCATTTTACCAACCTCAGAAGGATGGAAGGCTGAGCCTGGTGGGATTTGAACTGCCAAATTGCAGGCAGATGGCAGTCAGCAGAAATAGCCTGCAGTACTGCACTCTTAACCACTGCGCCACCGAGGCTCCTGATAGTGACCAACCACTGAGGATCCACCGAAGAAGAAAAGAAGGTTTTTGCTTTATTTTAAGAGTATTAGTGTTAAATCAAAACCATGGTAGCCAAGGATGATATCTAAATTAGATGGCAACCAGCTCCCACACAGGTCAGAGGTGGGACAAGCTGAAGAACAGGAAGCACTGTCAGTAGGAGCCATGTGCTTCCAGCAATGAAACTAGACTTCTTCCACTTGGCTTTTCAGGTAATGAGTAACCATGTTCTCAGTCATCTTGCGGTGTATCAACAGGTGCTTCTGATGGAACTGTCTGTTTGCCTTTGCAACCCTTCCCACCAAATGGCAATAGTTTTTAGGTTTATATACTAGTCTATTGTGCTTTACAGTTTGCAAGGTCAGCATATTGCCTCCAATAATCTGGGTCCTCATTTTGCTGACCTCTGAGGGTTACGTGGCTTACAGGAGAGGAAAGGGCCCTGATTCCCTTCATTAGCTGCAGCTGGGAACACAGTGTATATAAAAAGGCAAGCTGTGCGCAGCAAGCTGTTGGGAGCAAACGTGAATTTATCTTGTATCGTTGTGGCTTATCTGGGTTCCTGGCATCTTGCCAACTGTGCGAGTTTTGCCGTGCTTTCAAATTTGAAATTCCTTCTCCTACCCTGTCAAACTAATTACTTCAGTTTGGTTTGTTTGAATTTTAAGTTACAGTTTGTGAGTACCTTGTTTTGGACTGAATTTTCCTGGGAGTGTTTTTCTCCAGCCGAAGGTAACCTGGACATTGGGGGCAAAGTTGGAGATAATAAAGGGACTCTTATCGCTTATTTGACTGTGTTGCCTTTGTGCCATGCCCTGGGTCATCATAGGAAGGATTTCATAGAAAGGAGAAAGATTAGACTCAACAACATTCTCCTCATAGAGTCAAGGACAAGTTATCCTGCTCCTGGAGAGGAGTGGCTGGAGGAATGTCTCCGGTTGGACTGATGCTTGACTGGGCCATGTGATAGACTGGTGGGTGCAGGGGCTGGGTTTTTGATTTTCAATTGGGAAGGGAAAACCCAGAGCTCTCAGATTCGGATTTTCCCAGATGTGCCAATATGACTTCTTCAATAAAGTTCATCTTACTGGGATGAACTTTGTGCTGAATGAAAGGGGGAGTTTCATTCGAACACTGACAGCTAGCAGTAAAAGTCTTTGAGATATAATGACAGTCCATGAAATAAACTCTCCTCCAAAGCCCCAGTCATGTTGTTTGAAATGCTATGCTTCAACCAAATCCCTGTGTTTCTCACTCTTTCTCTCTTTACCCAAAAAACTGTGGCCAGGTTTGTCCTCCATCACACGGATGCGTCGAGCACCAGCAGGGATCACGGCTGCTTCGATATAACCTACAACCAAGAAAAGGAATATATGAGCCACCACAGTATATCCTAAAGGAAGTTCCCAGGGAAACTGACAAGTGGTCGTTGTGGCTAAAGTATGCAGTCCTTAACAGTTTGGAAAAAGAAATTCACAACTCCAACACCCATTTTGAAATTTGGTTGAGACGCTGGGCCGCACAAATTTCAAAGATGTGAATTATGACTTGAATGGGAGAAGGAAATGAATGTGCCCACTTCCTACATAACTAAAATTACGAGGCAATAAACTCCAATTGGTGATTTTTGGATTTCTTCGTGTGATCAGAGCTCTGTTAAAATTATTATTGCAACTAGTTCCATGAACAAAAAACTGTTCTAAAAAGCCTTTGAAGGATGTTTCAATTTCTTTTGGCTTCAACTAATCTGCCAGCTGTTTCAATTTGTGGGAAACTTGATTCCATACTTCACACATAGTCTGTCACTATGGCAGGCAAGCCATAATTTATGGCTAACAGTACTATGCCGACCCAACCAATTGGTTGATTTAATAAATTATGGCTCATGAATGATGAAGAGCATATGATAAAAACTGAATTAACTATATATTAATTATATCTATTTTTCCCAAATAATTCAATGAATGCATCATTGGAAGACTTAAAAGGACGGGTTGAAAAGATGGAGACAATCTAACTATGTGGTTGTTAGGAGTTGAAAACAACTCCTATACTCAATCATGCCATCCTGGCTAGTCAACCTTCCCAGTCCTAATGTCCTTTTGTGTATCTGGAAGGGACCATATTGGAAAATTTGGATTTGGTTTCTACCAGAAGCATTTTCCATCAAGCACAATATGATAATAGAGCATCTGTTTCAATAAGCGTTCCTTGTTTTTGTCTCTTCTCTTTTCCTTATTAATCTTTCTATGTTACGATCCCCACCCTGACTACACATTCATTTTTCATTTTCTTCTCCTTTCATTAGTTTACCCAAGAAATAACTTAATACAACAGAAAGGAAAACTGAAAACAGGGCTACAATAGAAGATACAGAGTTAAGAATCTGGTGCCAACATGTTGGATTCAGCACTGCTATGATTTCAGTGCATCTTGCCTTTAGTGTTAACTATTGTTTTAATCATTATTATTATGACCACAGTTATGCAAGAGATCATAATCCAGGCAAACAGCTGTCTAACATACAGCTTGGCAGCAAGAATTTGGGCCTTCTCTTATTCAGCATGTTCAAATTGTATTGAACCATCACATTCTAAGATGGCAAATTGTAGATGGCAAATTATTTCAATAGGCCACCAGGAATTTGAATGTTTTATATCTCTTCTGCAGGAAGAGTCAGCATTACAGATATTCCTTAGTAGTTGAGAAATTTACGTATTTGGAGTTTGGGGTCTAATGTGGGTTTGATCATTCTCCTGCAGATATTTCATTAGCAAGCTAAGTAACATTATCATGCCTAATCATGCATTGATGATGTTACATAGCTTGCTAATGAAATCTCTGCAGGAATCAACGAGCTTTGAGAACACTAAGATCCCAACAGTTCAACCCTAAGTTATATGCATATTCTTTACTATTGGAAGTCTACATTGTTATATTATTGTGGAGTTTTTTGTTTTGCTTTAACTTTACTACTGTTGGAAATCCGTAGCTGTTTGGCACCAGACGTAACTGGAGTGATACATAAACCCAGTAAAATAAATGCTTATATAAATACAAAAACATCTTGGCAATACACACAGACCCCAAACCAAAGATTATTACCAACGATAAGGTGACATAATATAACAAGACATAGCCAGAGGGGAGAGGATAGGAAGCAGCCTGAAAGTATACATGTCACTAATGTTAGGACAAACTTATGGGCATCCTTTAAATGTACAATTCCACGATTTTATCCAGGAATTTAAACAATCAACAAGCAATCTTTTGTTGGATCCTCCATGCCTTCTAACTAGACCCAGCTTTACTGATTGGATGCATCAAAACAATATCAACATTCAGGAGAAATTTAGAACTCAATTCCAATGGGAAGAGTTTTCAGGTCTCTTTCATATTATAAGAGAAAACCAAACGCAGTCAAACCAGAAGCTGGGCAATTCTGATTTGAATAAAGAGATAATTAGCTAAATTTTGCCTGTTGAAATTCTATAGGCATCCACTTAAGCACTATTCGTTTCATCTAACTTCATGGGATTTTAGTAAGTAGATGTGGATATCTGTCTATGGAGATTCTCAGTCGTCCAAGTCATGGTTGTCCCAAAGGTGGTTTTTTTTTCAAGAGGCAACTAGACTTTCTTCATGTTTCCTTGAAGATTTCACTTCTCATCCAAGAAGCTTCTTCAGTTCTTTTTGTTCTCAGCTTCATGAATGAGAAGGAAAACCCCTCCAAGGCAAAACTAAAAGAGTCCAGTTGCCTTTTGAAAAAGCACTTTGGGGACAAGTAGAATTTGGAGTTAACAAATTATTTAGCAAAATACAATGCTACCGCTACACCATTATACTCCTGGGCTTTAGATTTTCTTTTCATCCTTACAAATGAATGTAAATCCATTTCTCAGCATTTAGGGAAATGCAAGCCTTGATACAGTCTCTCACTATGTGCAAGCTACCACTCCTTTAGCAATCAGTAATTGCAGCATGGATTCCAGAAAGATCAGTAAATTTCAGTTTACTATGACCAAAAAACTCTACTACAATTGAATCATTCTCAACTTTCAGTAGAATCTGGTTCATTCCTTTCAACGCCAATTCTGGAGAGACAATTAAATGTTATAATAGAATAATGGGCTGCATTCTTTTTAGGTTCCATTCCAAATCCATTTAGTTCAAAATCATTTCAGATTGAACAATAAGGTTTCCATAGTCTCCTAGGAACTCTTTGTTATTTATTAATACGTAGTATTATATGCAAGTGCTCTCTACCTCAGGAACAATTCTCTCTTTCTGGCACACAATCCTCTTTCTGTCTCGCCTGTGTTACATCAAGGCCTCAGGAATGCACAACTGGGCTTGAAGAGAATGGTGCGTTAAAATTATATTGCAGGGCTCACATGAGGGGAGACACCTGAGCCGATGGGAAGGGAGCAGAGCAAAGGGGACAGAAAGATTGCCTTTATCCCTGTGAAGGTTCATAGAGGGAGAACAGCTGGTGCTGTGCCTTCCCTGAGAAATCTGGAAAGAACTAGTGAGCAATAATTTCCTTCAGTCTTTGATACTGTAATTCCGTCTTTTCTGCCTCTAGTCATGGAGTCCTTGGAGGAAAACCATAACAAGGAAATTACAGAGTTGGAAGGGACCGTGAAGAACTTCTAGTCCAATCTTCTACTCAGGAAGGTGACTCTATATTATTCCAGACAAATGGTTGCCCAATCTCTTCTTAAAAACGCCCAGTGTTGGAGCATTCACAACTTCTGGAAGCAAGTCATTCCACTGGTTAATTGTTCCAACTGTCAGGAAATTTCTCCTCAGTTCTAGGTTGCTTCTCTCCTTGATTAGTTTCCATCCATTGCTCCTAGTCCTGATTTCTTGAAGTTATGGATAGATTTCAAAGCCAAAGAAGCTAATGGCATCAGTGGTGAGTTTGGAATTTTTAATGGGATTCTTACAATTAGATGGTTCCCATAGTATCTGCTAGGATTCCACTGAATTAATATTTTCAAAGGCACGAACATGCTAACACTTCTATAAAATGCACTCAATGATCGTTATCATCATCAGTGATAGAAAGCTGGCATTTCTTCCTTCAGAGAAAATAATGTCATTTCCTAGAAGAGAAAGTCACAGCCAATGTAACTAATGCCTTCATCCCAATGTCTTCCCTTTTTCATTCAATTTGCATCCTGCTCCCTTTTTTGAGTAACCTGTGGGAAATATTAGGGAAATAGGTCTTTCTCTCTTCTTATTGGGTTTCTCCTTCGAAGGCGGAATCATCAGCAGGTGGAATTGTGAAGGCTGACATTTTGATTGCTGTGAATCTTGATAGGTTTTTCAGTAGGATGACAAGCCCATAGACTGCTCGTAAGCCTGTAAACCTTCTTAGCATAGAAACCCAAGACAGGTAGTCCTTAACTTATGACAACAATTGGAACCAGATATCTATTGCTAAGCCAGTTGGTTGTTAATGGAATCATGCCCAATTTTGGAAACTTTTTTTTTTTTTGGCCATGGTTGTTAAGCAATTAACTGCAACTGTTAAGTGAATTACATGGTTGTTAAAACAAATCCAGTTTCCTCCACTGACTTTGCTTGCCAAAAGCCAGCTGGGAAGGTCACAAATGGGGATCACGTGACCCTGGGATTCTGCAACCATTGTAAATACATGCCGGGTGCCAAATTCAGTGTCCGAATTTGAGCACATGTCCATGGGAATGCTGTGATAGTCCTAGAGCAGTGGTGGCTAACCTTTTTGGGCTCCTGTGCCAAAAACTGCATATGAACCAGCGCACACGCACTCATGTGCCAGCACCCAGAATACAGTGCATGCCCCTTTCCCCATGCCCCCTGTGCATGTGCGCGCAATTCTCCCCCCCACACTAACCCCTTTCCTCACAGTTGACTTTTCGGCTGGTCTGAAGCCTTTTTCGGCCTCCCAGAGGCTTGGAAAAAGCCTCTGCAATGCTTTTCAGGATGAATTATAGGACCGTTTCGTCACTTCCGGTATTACAGGAAATGACAAAACGAGCCTATAATTCATCCTGAAAAGCCAAAAAAGGCCCCAAATCAACAACAACAAAAATCAGCTGTGAGGCGCACACATGCTCAGTGAGGTAAGTTTGCCTGCGGCTCACGTGCCAGCACAAATGGCTCTGCGTGCCATAGGTTCGCCATCACGGTCCTAGAGCAAAGTCACACTTTTCAGTACCATTGTCACTTTGAATGGTCGCTAAAGGAAAAATCACAAGTCAAGGATTGCCTTATAGTTAACCCCACTCGTGCTGAAAGTTAGAATTATGGAGGACCCCATTCATCAGGAAATGAATGTCAAGATGCTTTTTCCTCCCCGAGAACTCAGTGAAAAGATTCATATGAAGAAAGGACAAAAGAGCTTTGAAATATATCCACAGCTTCTCCTTTGAGTTAGGATCCCATATCGGCATTTCAAGTCAAGCAAAGAACAAGGAAGAAGACCCAACACCAAGAGAGTATCTATCTATCTCCCAGCACCATGGAAATCAACCAAGGCATCTTACATGAGAAACATTTGGGCACTGCCTTTGTCCTGGCCATCACACAGGTGGAAACCTTCTTACATTGACTATTGGAGACTAAGGGGGGGGGGGGAGGAATTGGCACAAGTTTAGTTACACCAGCAGGGAATGTTTGTGCAAGTCAGCAGTCAGCAGAAATAATCTTTCTTCAGGACAGCCCAGTCAGCAGCAGGAGACAATTTTCCTCGCAACAGCTTTCTGATATCTATTACAAAGCAATCCTCTACAGGGAACCGGCTACTTGGACACAGAACAGCAAATCTGAATTGAAACAAAACAGTACTCTAATAGGACTCTGTTGCACTTTGACAAGAAACGGATTTCAAAATATATGAATCACCTATGGCTTCTACTTTTTGGTGAAGATCACGTGGGTTTATAAATAGCCCATTTTGTTCAAGTTCAATTATAATTCTCAGGGTGGCTTGTTTTCCATGGCACGGCAAAACAATATGTGCATCAAGCTATCACATGCAACCCAAAATAGAAAAACACTGGAAAAGGGTCAGCATCAGAGATGCTGGTTCTGACTGGTTCTGGAGAACCGGTAGTGGAAATTTTGAGTAGTTTGGAGAACCAGCAAATACCACCTCTGACTGGCCCCTGCCCCCATCTATTCTCTGCCTCCTGAGTCCCAGCTGATCGGCTGGGTCTTCTTTGGTTGCCCTGCACAGGAGAACGGAGCTGGAAAGCAGGTTAATGGGGTGGGGAGGGAATGGCATTTTGCAGTAGCCTTCCCCCAGGAGTGGGGTGGAAATGGGGATTTTACAGTATCCTTCCCCTACCATGCCCACCAAGCCATGCTCTCCAAGTCACGACCACCAAACCATGCCAGTAAACAGGCAGTAAACAGGCAAGAGAGGAAGGGGACAAACGATTAAAAAAAGAGGTCCCCAATGCCAGTAAGTAAAATTTATTGATGGTCATTGAACAGCCACATTTAGAATGGCAAAATAGAGGGAAAAATGGGTTTCCTATGCCAGCTGTGGCATTAAAAATCTTCTTTTCATGCTTATGGAATTCTGTCCTTCAAATCAGATAAGTTATTCCTAGATGATCTGCTCAAAATTGATAAAAGTGCTGTAATATAGAATATAGATTCATAGGACTGGAAGGGACATTGGAGGTCTTCAAGTCCAGCCCTCTGCCCAAAGCAGGAGGCGTTATACCATCCTGGACAAATGGTTGTCCAATCTTTTCTTGACAACCTCCAATGATGGAGCACCCACAACTTTCAGAGGCAAGCTGTTCCACTGGTTAATTGTTCTCACTGTCAGGAAATTTCTCCTTAGTTCTAGGTCGGATCTCTCTTTGATAAGCTTCGATCCTTACTTCTTCTCCTGCCCTCAGTCGCTTTGGAGAATAGCTCAACCCTCTCTTCTCTGTGACAGCCTCTAAAGTACTAGAAGAAAGTTATCCTGTCTCCCTTAATCCTTCTCTTCGATAGACTCCCTCAACTTTTCATCCTAACATTTAGCTACCAGACCCTTTATCAACTTAACATGGTTCATTATGGCTGATCATCATAACATGGTTATGCCAAATGCTGAGTGGTGCGGTGGCCTAGAGGTGGAGCTCTTGCCTCACAATCAGGAGGCTGTGAGTTCGATCCTAGGTAGAGGCAGATATTTCTCTCTCTGGGCACAATGAGGATGTATCTGCTGGAAAAAAAAAAACTCTGCACTGGCGACAGGAAAGGCATCCGGCCAGTAAACACTCAGCCCCATTCAGTTGCAGACTCCACCCTGCAAGGGATTATGGGGTCATTAAAAGAAGATGATGATGGTTATGCCAAATGCTGTAAACATTCAATTAGGATATTTCAGTCTTCCTATGTGCAAAAACTACTCACCCATCCCTTTCGTATGGTTGAAGTCACCTTTCACCACTTTGCAGGTTTTCCCATTTCCGTTACAAATGCCACAGTGATCTTCTTTGGCAGAGGATCCAATGATCCCATCACAGCCGATTTTCTAAGGGGGATCAAGAGGGGTGGGGTTTTTTTGTTATTGTCATAACAAAAAGAGATTTTAGATATTTCATCTGCTTTAGAGATTATTAAAGGAGGATAAGTCCTGGATGCTCATTTGAAAGAAAATCTCAGAAATAAACTTATAACTGCTACAGATACCAGATTTTATATTTCTAAGCAAGGCAGTTAATTGAATAACATCTGATTTTACAACCTTTTAACCCAGTTATTAAGGAAATCACTGTAGTTCTTAAGTGAATCACACAGTCATTAACCAGATCCATCTTTTCCAATTGATTTCATTTGTCAGGAGCTGACTGGAAAAGATTTAAATGGTGATCGAATGACCCTGGCATACATATATGTCAGTTGCCAAGCTCACTGTTGCAACAGTCGTAAGTTTGAGGACTGGCCATAAGTCACATTTTTCAGTGTTGTCATTACTTTGAACAGTTGCTAAATGAATGGTTGTTAAGTCTATCTGTAGGGTAAACTTAAATTATGCTACTCAGCTGAAGTTGCAACCAGTCTATGTAACTACTAGTACCAATGCACCAAACTGAAAGTCACTTAAACTTGATACCCAGTAGCTTGCTAGATATTTCGCAAACACCTTTTCCCTTATCTGTTTTCTGACATTTGGTTAATGTATACATAGCAATATCACTTAGACTTATATCCCGCTTCATAGTGCTTTTTCAGCCCACTCTAAGCGGTTTACAGAGTCAGCCTATTGCCCCCAACCATCTGGGTCCTCATTTTACCCACCTCGGAAGGATGGAAGGCTGAGTCAACCTTGAGCCTGGTGAGATTCGAACTGCCAAATTGCAGGCAGCCGGCAGTCAGCAGAAGTAGCCTGTAGTACTGCACGTGCGCGCACACACACACACACACACACACACACTTCAGTATGTCTCCTACCTTTCATATATATATGACTTCTGGTATATAAATGTAGCTGGTGAATCAAGTATTACATGCCATGAGCACCTGATTCTAAGAGGTACAATATGTTTTTGGAGAAGAGCCGAAGAAGATTATTGGATGAGAAGTGAAATGTCTTCAAAGAAAAATCAGAAAGTCCAAGTGCCTCTTGAAAAAGCACATGTTTTTGGGCTTTAACCTGGTAAGAATGTTCTCAGCGGGACCTTTTACAGAAGAAAAACAACACTTGGATAAAAGAAAAAAATCCTTATAATTTATGGCCTTCCCTTCCACTGATTACAACCTTACCCAGTATGTGGCCACAGCAGAATAACGGAAGAAATGCATCTTAAACAGATCAAAAGTTACTTATCTGGGTTCAGGATATTCAGCACAGAATCCTGCTGAAACCCATGTCTTGTATTTTGGGACCTGCAAGCAATTTCAAACTACACGGGGCAATTCCCATTAAACATTCTATCAGCTCAAAAGTGGAAGATCAATCACTGCTTTTGGGTATTTTTTTTAAAGTTATATCATCTCTCTTGGCACACAATCTGAATTTTTACCCAAATATCGATAGGGTGCTTTCAATTAAGCTTTTAAAAGTTCCTCGGGGAAAGACCCCATTCATAGGTTTGGGTGTTACTTCACTAGCACCATTGTAATTACTGCCTCATGTAAAAAAAATGACAATGTCCTTTCACAGTGTACTGTAATGCTTCCCGTATGCTTAGCCTGCCATAGCAGATTGTATATAAATATAAATATTGCCGTTGTTAAGTGTCATTCTGAAATTTGACCATGCCAAGATGATATCACTGTAGCAAATTCTTCCAACTGTCAACAATTGTTCACACTATAGTAATCATATAGACCAG